ACTCCTACTTCTAATGGTAATTAACTTCCTATTTCTACTGGTAACACAACTCCTACTAAGAACAGGGGATAAGTAGATGGGATAAGGGATAAGGTCAGGGATAAGGGATAAGGTAAGCTGGCGGTGAGTTGGCTAGAGTGGCAAGGTAAGTGGGCCCCTAATGAGCTGTCGTGTGGGACCCCCCTTCAGTGCTACTGCTCAGTGTTGCTGCCCTTCACTGCTGCTGCCGGCCACGGTGGTTAGGCTCGCCTACGAGTGTGTCTACTGCTTCTGTGTCCGCAACAGAAAATAACTGATATAATAATTAGGATAAATATAATAGGTTCAAATGTTTTGTATCTTGGACTCTTAATTAATGTATTGTTCGACATTCGTATTCGTATTCAAGTTCATTATTTTTTTTTGTTTTGATCAATAACACAATTCATTAAATAATCCCAATAATAATTAGAAAAAGGAAGACAAACTTTCTTATCTTTCAGCTATTACTTGAGCCCCAAGAAAAGAAAAAGAAAAAGGAAAAAGAGAAAGAAAAGGAGAAAAAGAAAAAGAAAGAATAAAATTACAATTGTGCCCAAAACATTGACTCCCTCTCCACCCCTTGTTTAGCTAACCCATCAGCAAAAGAATTAGCTTATCTTTTTACCCAACTGATTTTAACTTCCATTTCTCAAGCCAGCCATCTAAATTTCCTCATATTATTGTAATTCCATAAGCCACTGTTGTCTTTATTCAGCCATCCTACCACCACCTCCAAGTCCCCTTCAATTATAAGTTTTCTAATATTCATCTCCCTAGCTTTCTGGATTCCTTCCATAACTGCATGGATCTCAGCTCTGAAAGAGTCGCCCACTCCAATTGGGCCTGAGAACATGGCAGAAACAATCCCATTCTCATCCCTAAAAACACCCCCAATCCCTGATTGTCCAGGATTCCCTTTGCAATTCCCATCAAAGTTTAGTTTTATGAAACCCGTAGGTGGGGGAGTCCAAGACATACTCATCACTGTATAATTTGTGAATAGCTCTAGTGATTTTATCCACTGTATGACCCTTATAAGGTATCCAAGTTCATTATTAAGTAAATAAAAAATGTTCTTCAAAGTTCATTATCAACCAACATTAGAACCCTTCCATATAAAAGAGCAAAACAATATAAGTCAAAAAAATAAATAAAACAAGTGACATAAGAGAATGGGTAAACAAATAAGTTTTTAATTTCAAAGAACCAAAAATCCAAAAAAAAAACCCAAAAGTTACCCGTCAATAGGTCTTGGACTCTTGTTCATAACTGTTAAACCTTAAGGGTAAATGGGTAAACAAATAAACATGAAGGTTGAAGGATTGGAGCTTGACTTAAAAAACAAAAAGAAATTCTCTTAAAATATTATATATTATAAATTATTTTATACAATATATTATACCATAAAACATATTATATATATATATATATATTTATATATTAGTCGGGTTTATAATCGAGGATCAGGAACGGGTACCCATGTCAAATAAAACCAGGTATCGGGTGTCGGATACCCTAAAGTCAAAATGCAAACCCGTCCCAAACCCTATAGGGTTTTAATATAAAATCCCAAACCCTATAGGATTTTGATAAATGAGTCCTATTAGGGTTGGGACGGATTGGATACTCAAAATTTCCTGTGAAATTGCCATCCCTAATTGAGTATCAGGTTGCAAACTTAGTTTATTTCAATCTATAGCCCTATAGGCAAGTGACCATTGCTAGCCGAACATGGAACAATCTGGCACCCATTTCTTTGGCCCATTCAAGGCAATAGAGAGAGTTGGTACAGTAGCATGTCACTGTTGAAGATGTGCCTCAAGGAAGATACTATCTCTAGCCCGAATTTACCCCAGTTCACTGACGAAGGTATGATGAAGGTTGAACCACTCAGGATAGTGGGCCTATGTTGGGTTTGTAAGGGTGGTTGACTGATTCCTAAAGCCATGGTGATTGGAAAGAGCCACTGGAAGAAGACAGTACATGGAAACCTATCTCACTCTCCAGGATGAGCTTCCACATCTGGAACTTGAGAGCAAGGTCCAACTTATGGGGAGGGGACCTATTAAGACCCCAGCTAAAGCTAGACCTCAGGCCTAGCAGACTGTAGTAGACTAGCCCATTACATGCAATCTTCCAACCATTAAGCTAAGGTATAACACGAGGCCACCTGAGCAAAGCATGCCCAAATCACCTAAAAGTGGGAACAACTTAGTTGGTTGTAACTAATTCCAAATCTGAATGTAAACATATATAAATACCCACACATCAAAGTGGGAAAGTAAACAAAAAATAAACCCTATATTCCCTTCTTCTTCCTTTTTCTCTGTAGGAGATGATTTTCCTCGAAGAAACCCTGAGATAGGAAGTAACATATCATTACCCATTACCCAACCCAACTCACTTAAATCTACCCAATAGGCGATTCAAACCATTGCCAACCTACTAGGTAAATGAGTGGGTTACAAGTGGATGAATTCAATGGGTCAAATGGATCGGGTTAGAAGTTACCACCCCTAGTCCTACATCATCTTTGCCTACAATTACAGATCACTCTCATGTTGTTCAGATATCCCATCTGCAAAAGGAAGAAACTAGAAGATATATTCTAGCAAGATTCAAGATATGCCCTTTTTTATGAATAAAGATAGTTTTATTACTTCAAAAAGATAATGGAGATCTCATACAACAGCCCATGGAGAGGCGCGAGCTGCAGCCTCTCTCAACTGATTACAAAGAAACTTAAAAGGAAAAGGAAAAGATAAACATGTCTGCTAGTATACAATGGGTGGGAAGATCAGAAAATGCTTTGGCAGATGACTTAGCTAAGCAAGGGACAAATAGGGAAGTTTTGTTTTGGATTCAAGATGGGCCCTTTAAGACACCTATTTGTGGATATAGGCCCTTACATCCTCAATTAGATTTTGGAGCTGAAAGGGTTTGATGATATGTATAGAATAACATTTGACAAGCATTTGTGTAACAACTAACAAGTAAAGAATATGAAGAAGAATGACCTTTTCTGCATTTTAGAGCTCCTTTTTTGTACACAGGGTGTTCTCTTTATACCCATTGTTGTATTCACATTATCTACCAACAAAATTTTCCATACTAAAAGAGAAAGAGAACCTGTAGATCTGGAATCACTACAAGCAAGCAATTTATTTTGCCAATATGCTTTGGCTTCAAATCCAAAGCACCATGCAGAAAATCTAATCCATTTATTTTCCTCTATAATGCCACTCAACTAGTGCATTTAATGCACTTAGCTAGGAAGCCGTTGAATATTAAACAATTAAGTATTTAAGTTTCCAGAGAGCTATAAGGTTACCTTTGAGCTTTCTCACCAAACATTCATATCCTTGTGTTCTTTCCATAAACAGTTCCATCAAATTTAGCTTAGCAGATTAAATAGAGAATAACTTAGTATTCTAACATGTAAACACAGAGAAAGTTATAGGTTAGGGAATTTATTATTTTATGTCACCATAATAGGAATAACATACCAGTTTAGAGAAACATATAGCACGGTTTGCATGACATATGGAACGTATTTCCACAGATGAAGGCATCTCAGGAGCTACTTCTAAGGCAAGCTCATATTGTGACAATGCATCTTCATACTTCCCAGCTCCAAAAAGTTTATTGCCTTCAGCCTTTGCATCAATGGCTTGAGATAAGGCTCTCTGCAGCACAAAAAGAAATAACCAACAAATAAATAAATCAGAAGATCACAAATTTTAGGATTAAAGAGTGTTGTGAGATGTATTATATTGTATTGGCACAAGGGCATTCTAGTATGTTCCTCTTCAGCTATAATGTTAATATAAATGGAGTGTGAGGTCACTGCCACAGACATCCCTAAGATTTTCCTAAACTTTTCTCTCCTTTGTTTCTCTTCTTCTCTTCTCTTCTACACCATCTCTGCCTCTTGTTCTCTCTTGACAGATAACAAAGAGCACAGAATACTATGACACAATACTACATACATAATTGTCTATTTATCTATCCTCCATCTATGCATAAATATACAAGCATACATAATATAAACCTCATGAATTCATCTTATACAAGGCACAGACAAATTCTTTTCACTTTCATTCCATGGCATTCAAACAAGGCACAATACAAAAAAGATAATCACAAAATGTGCATACCATGAAAAAAATGCTATCAGTATGGTAGTAAAATGGAAAATCCAAGAAAGCCTCACACTAAACAGCCTAGAAATCCAGATGAAGCATGTGGAAATAACAAATATGGGAATATTCATACCATCCATCAGGTCATGCATTATCCTGTGAATTTATTCAAAGCTTTAGAAATATCAAGTAAAAATATATGTAAAATGATCCAGATCATCAATTCTAAATGAGCTCGATGGTCAAGTATTATGCAATCCACAACCATTTTCTATGCATAAGAATCATATAAGAGGAGAAATGACTCAAAAATGAAAAGAAAAAAAAAAAAAAAGCTTTATAGAATATAGACTTAAACATAAGTATCTAATTATGACTATTTCCTTCTTGAAACAAAATAATAATCAAAGGAAATAAGAATCTTTTAAGAGTCAAGGACAACAAAAATGCCAGCCTCCAATCTATCCACAACAACTTCAAAAGGATCTATTTTCTTTCTCAAAAGTTCAACTGGCTTAGAGTTCTTATGTTCATGCATTTGAAGCCATTATGTGATGCATTTTCTTTGATAAAAACTAGGCCAACCAGCAATAATACCCTGATTATTGGTCCAATTAAGTTTTGCTTCATTCAGTGAAAATTCCAACAGTCTTTGTGACAATGAAAGAAGAGTCTTCTAGGATTTTGAGACATTCACTCCTAGCATAAAGGCTGATTTTCAGGTTTTACCATTATCAAATGGTAAGAGGGCTCTTCCTTCAAGAAAAGAGAGCATTTAGAAAGAGAAAAGATGAAACTAAGGGCCACAAACAAGACGGTGCCTAAAAAAAATTTGGACATTTTTTGGAAAAGATAAGAACAAAAACAATAAATGGATGCTATAAATGCATAAGACTTCATTGCAATATAAAAGATGTATCATCATTTTTTATAATAAAAAGAAATTTATTAAAGAAAAAAGAGATTGCAAAAGACATGATGGCAAGTTATTACACAGAAGAGAAAAGGACTACACCTCAAAAACAACCAAAAACAAGAAACCTAACAAAACAAACTAACCAAGAACTCCCTAAAACACCAAACACCAACACTCCACCCCTTGGCCCCCAAAACCAAAGGAAAGCTGAACAAGCCACCTCTGCTCCTCCTCAAGCATTTTCTCCTGCCGAGTGTTAGCTTCATTCCACACCTCTCCTCCTTCCCCCACTATAACTTTTTCAAACTTTCTTCCCTCCTCTTAAACTCCTCAAAGGCTCTTCTAGCAAAAGCCTCACCACCCAAAAGAGACAAACCAAGATTTTTGCCAATCTTAACAATCTTCTCAATAGCCAAACATCCTTCCTTCTCCACCTTTTCTTCTGGAATCCAATTAACCATTCTCACCTCATCTTCAACTCTGCCCACACTCTTTCTCCTTTTCTGATGGAAATTATGCAAATGTGCATCCAAATTGATGGAGCCACAAGACTCTCCCCTACCAATGCTATTTGACATTGAAACCTTCGTCTTTACCCCTTTTCTCTTATAAACTCTGAAAATCTTTTGTGGGACCTATGCCAGTCAAACCAAGCTTTGGCCACAAAAAGACTACAGTAATGTGAACAATGTGTTGCTTGCTAGGAGCGAGATTTCTTAGGAGTTGCCCCAATGACATCAACCACACCTCTCTCTTAATCTTTCCTCTTGCAACCCAAATCCACTCCTAACTTACCTATCACCACCTCCTCAAAAGAAAATTGATCAACAAAAGGATTCTTGTTATTAGAAAAACTCCTATAGCCAACTGCTTCGACTGAACTCTTCTCTAAAACACCTCCATCTTCTTTGCCTTGAAATGACGATTGACTTCTTCCACACAACCTCCCCTCCCACCCCCAACCCAAAATCCACCCCTTCATTATCCTCCTCTAGATCTGTCAAAAATGACTCCATCAGAGCAGCATAGCTCTCCTGTAATAGAAAAGCAACACCCTTCTGAGAAACTGAGCTATCACAAACCATAGGAGATTCACCACTTTCCAAATCACAAGCCCTAGGAGAACGAACACCCATAGCATCACTCCAACAGCTACTAGAATCAGCACATTCCTCCACAGCATCTTCGGCAGTCTTCCTCTTGCCTCCTCTATCGAACTTCGAGATCACCCAGACCCAACTCTCATTCTCCCCCTCTTGTGACTTAATAGAGTCATTTCTAATTAGATCCCCAAAAATCTTTAGCCTTTTGATGCTTGAAAGAAATGCAACCCCTTTTGTCAACCAGAAACTTGGACAACCGGTTCGAATTTCCTTTCTTTTTAAACCTAAATCTCTTAAACAACTCCCCTCTTGATCCTCCAACCAACCTCACAAAACCACGCATCTCCTCTGCTTCTATATATGCTAGCTTCTCTTTTTCCTTGCTCATCTCCACACTCCTACACTTCTGGGCCTTCCACGTGGCCCATCACCCTTCTCTCCGCGCCAACACCAAAGGACTCCATTAAGTACAAGCTTTCCTTAATAGTAGACCCAACCATCGAATGTGCCTCACTTCTTCCTTGGCTCTGAATCCCAACGCCCTCCATTGGCACCAAGACCCACAACGCAGCCCTTAGAAATAAAACTTTTAGCCATAATTCCTAAAACACCCTCATCTTCAACTTCTTGATTCACCTGTTCATACTGACCATTCAGCTTCCAAACAGTTTCAAAAGACTCCCACAAGTTCTTCAATTCTCCTTCCTCCACCAGTCCATATGGATTTTCTATCCATTTGCATCCCTACCTTCAACTTGCAATAGATCACTTCTTATGAGTGCTGTTGGTGGTCTTCTATGCATGTGACCAAACCATCTTAGAATAAAATCTATAAACGAGTGCTAATAATTGCAGACTTTTGTTGCAAACATGTAGAAGGTAATCTCAGTAGTGCTGTTAAACAGATGTACAGTGAAATAGCTTTTAGTGACAATAGAACATAACAATGAATCCTTATTATCAGAATGGTCACAGTGCTGGCTAATCTTTACAAAAGTGAGAACAAAAGACAAGAACCATACAAGTATAGGTGAAACACAATGGCTAAACACAAAAGGAATCATGCATAATTTTCTCCCCAATATCTAATATGTAAAAAGAGTAACAAGTCTAAGCCCCTTTTGAACTCCTTTAAAGCACAATGCTCAGTCAAAGAGTTGCCTCCTGTTTTTTAGAAAAGGTAACTATTATATTCAAAAGGGGGGGAGGGGGATGTACATGAGAGGATTTACAAACAAAATCATCAAATCCTCACAACTAAAATATCTCCCCACTTTAGGGGGCAAAGTATTTGCTCTATACAAAAAATACCTATCCACCCCAGATTTAGCCAAAAGATCCACAATTGAGTTCAGCTCCCTTGGAATCCATCTAAAGCTGCAATGCAGAGAAGTTACTTCATAATCTCATTGAGGAAATAACCCAGCCTCCAAGGGCCCTTTTCTGGGTGGGAGGCCCAATTAATAACATTCCTAGAATCCCCCCTCAATGAGAACAGAGTTAAGCTACAGAGATCTAACAATTCTCAGACCCATTACCAATGCTCTGATTTCAGCTTCAGAAGCATATACAGCACCAACTGGGCCACTGTAAGCCCAAATCACAGAGCCCTCTCTGTTTAGAATAACTCCCCTGATGCCAGCTGCCAGAGGCTGGCCAGAAGATGATCTACAATTGCCATCAACCCTTAGTAAATAATCTAGATCTGGCCTGGGAGTGCTGGAATGTCCAGGCTGATTGTCAATGTGTGAGGAATGTATAATCTCTATTAATTAGAAAGAATTGCCAAAGAGAGTGAGCCACCTCACAATTAATTAGAAAGTGACTAGTCGATTCACCATCCTTCACGCACATGACACAAATGTGAGGAGAGAGAGAATAAGATCCAAATCTTCTAATCTGTCGAGGAGAGAGAGAATAAGATCCAGACCGCCTCCCAAATAAAAAATGAGACTTTGAGAGGTACCACACAAGGCCAAATTCTGTTGACCAAGAAGGCAGGAGAGGCTCCCAAAGTAAGGTGGGTGAAAAAGGATTTAGTGGAGAAAATGCCATTGGGAGATAAAGATCAGATACATTTATCAGGGAGGTGAGAAGAGAGAAAGACTTCATTTAATGAGAGGAGAAGGAAGGAGACTTCTTGGGCTTCAATGTCAGTCAGAGCTCTACGGAAGTTGAAATTAAAGGACACACCTTGGTTATCCCTAACTAGGACATCACAAACTAGAATGTCTTTGTCCAAGGTTAGGCTGAAAATATTAGGAGAGGTAACAGACAGAGGTTGATGACCCCACCAAGTATCAGTCCAAAATCTGATATGGTTACAATTCCAATTCTAACTCTTACTAAGAGGGAAAAGAGAAGGACTTGCATAATACCTTTCCAAGGATTGGCTAAAGAAAATCTGTTTGTTACATTGTTGCTGTCCCACCTGTTATTAGTCCTTCCAAAGGCCCAGAAAATATCTTGCTCCAATGGGAAGCGCCATAACCATTTCCCGAGAAGAGCGACATTTCTTTCTACCA